AACGTCGTCCAACACGTACGCCTGCGAGTGCTGCAGCAGGCCGTTGGTGCCAGGGATGCTATAGAGCAATCTCTGCTCCATGCCCTTATGGACCTCTTTGCAGCAGCGCCGCTCCACGTGGTGCTTTATTTCTTGGAATATGCTGCCCCAGCGGTCCTGGAGGAGGAGTGCAAGTTCGCCAAGAGTCGGGGGGTGGCCAAGGACCCGGACGGGCGCAGGTTTCAGGTTACAATCCTTTGCAAGGGCCCGCATGAGATGCACTGCGTTGAGTTAGCGTTTTTCCATGGGTTTCGGGACTCCGGCGATTTCCTGAATGTGGTTGTCACGCCTCTCTATGGTGGTATGCAGTCTGAGACCGTGGGCTTCGGACAACATGCTGTTCTGCTGCTCGAGTGCTCCAAGGATGGTGCACGGCAGCCGACCCTGTCCTTTTTGCTTTTGCTTACGGACACTATCGTTGGACGCAAACCTAAGTCGGCCAGGCGGCGGGACAACTTGGTGGTTGGTGGCAGCCATCAGAAACGCTGCGCTTGTTGAAGCCCAACATGACCTTTTGCAGTTCCGCATTGTCTGAACTAATCATGAGTTGCTCACTAATCGTCCAGTGCTGAGAGCTTACACACGCACCCACCACCCACCCACCCACCCACCCACCCACCCGCCCACCCACCCACCCACCCACCCACCCACCCACCCACCCGCCCACGCACGCACGCACCACGCACCCACGCACCCACGCACCCACGCACCCACGCACCCACGCACCCACGCGCCCACGCACCCACGCACCCACGCACCCACGCACCCACGCACCCACGCACCCATCCATCCCTCCGTCCATCCATCCATCCATCCATCCATCCATCCATCCACCAGCCCCCACACCCACACCCACCCGCACCCACACCCACACCCACACCCACACTCACACCCACACCCACACCCACACCCACACCCACACCCACACCCGCACCCACACCCACACCCACACCCACCCACCCACACCCAGCAAGTTGCTTTTCTGCGCCGCCCCGCCGCGCCGTGAAGCCATGCCCAGCCTGCTCTGAGGCCGGTCAAGGTTGCCTCATCGACATTGATGAGGTAACTGACTTGTGTACCGGTGTGTCGGCGCCTCGTGGGCATCAACGCTGCCTGTGTGGCCGAGGCAGGTGGGAGCTGGAATGTTGCGGGCGCGTGCTATAGTCGTGGCTTCAGGTATGTGAAGTGCGTCGTCTTGATGTCTGATTGCTGCAGCAAATAGAGGGATCCTCTGCTTCCCCCGCTTGTGGCGGCAGGAGGGCTCACACACACACACACGCACACGCACACGCGCACACGCACGCAAGCACACCCGCGCGCACGCACGCACGCACGCACGCACGCACGCACGCACGCGCGCGCGCGCGCGCGCGGGTCGCGCACACATCACACACACACACGCATTACACACAAACGCAGCACACACCACACATCACACATCACACGCATCACACACACATCACACATCACACATCAGACATTACGCATCACACATCACACACCACACATCACACATCACGCATCACAAATCACACTTCACACTTCACACATCAAACATCATGCATCACACATCACACATCACACATCACACATCACACACACACCACACACCGCACAACACACAACACACATCACACATCACACGACACACATGACCTAAAATTTATCGCTCATCGCACATCCAACATCCCACATCGCACATCGCGCGTCACACACCACACATCACACATCACGCATCACACATGACGCATGACATCACACATCACACATCGCGCATCACGCGTCACGCTTCACACGTCACGCGTCATGCATCACACATCACACAGCACACATCACACATTGCGCATCACACATCACGCATCACACATCACGCGCAACACGCCACACACCACACACCACACACCACACACCACGCGCAACACAGCGCCCACCGCCCACCACCCACCCATCCACCCACGCACACACGCACGCACACACACGCACGCACGAACGCACGCCCGCGCGCAACGCACGCGCCCACGCCCGCACGCACACCCACACGCGCCGCGCGCCCACGCGCACGCCCACGCACGCGCCCTGAGCGCCCACGCGCGCCCGCGCACGCCCGTGCACGCCCGCGTATGCTCGCGCACGCTCGCGCACGCTTGCGCACGCCCGCGCACGCCCGCGCGCGCACGCCCGCGCACGCACGCGCACACGCACAAGCGCACGTGCACGCGCACGCGCACGCACACGGACACGCACACACGCACGCAAACACGCACGCGCGCACGCACGCACGCCCACGCACGCACGCAGACACGTTCACGCACGCAGGCGCACGCACGCGCGGCGCGGCGCGACTTGGCGCGGCACGGTGCGGCGCACCGCGCTGCACCGCGCGCACGACGCGCGGCGCCGTTGCCGTGCCGTGCGGCGCGCGCCGCCGCACGCACGCGCGTGCGCACGCCCGCCCTCACGCCCGCACCACCGTACGCTGGCACGCGCGCACGCAAGCGCTCATGCGCGCACCATCACACCCACACGCCCGCACGCCCACACGCAAACACGCAAATACACAAGCGCACAAGCACACAAACACACAAACAAACAAACAACCCAACAAACAAACAAACAAAACAACCACACAAGCGCACAAACGCACAAACACACAAACGCACAAACACACACACAAACACACAAGCACACAAGCACACGAACACACAAACACACGAACACACAAACACACAAATACACAAACACACAAACACACACAAACACACAAACAGACAAACAGACAAACACACAAACACACAAACACGCAAACACACAAACACACAAAGACACAAACACACACACACACAAACACACAAACGCACAAACACACAAACACACAAACGCACACAAACATATAAACACACAAACACACAAACACACAAACACACAAAGACACGAACACACAAACACACAAATGCACAAACACACAAACATACAAACACACAAACGCACAAACGCGCAAACACACAAACGCACAAACACACAAACAACACACACACACACACGCGCAAACACGAACACACAAACACACAAACACACAAACACACACACAAATACACAAACACACAAACACACAAACACACAAACACACAAACACACAAACACACAAACACACAAGCACACAAACACACAAACACACCCTACCAGGTACACTGCAGCAGAGCTGGAGGGCGGAAGCTTCTGGAAAGGACATGTGCCTATAGGAAGAGAAAGAAAGCGCCCCCTGTTCCATGCCCGCACATCTTTTTGGTTGAGTTGGCTGCCGCAGTCGAGTTGGCAGGTGGAGCGTCCTGTGTTGTTTTTTTTCCCCCCTTTTTGCTTTCTTGATTTCTTGCTTTCTTGTTTTCCTGCTTTTCTGCTTTCTTGCTTTCTTGCTTTCTTGCTTTCTTGCTTTCTTTCTTTCTTTCTTTCTTTCTTTCTTTCTTCTTTTGCTTTCTTTCTTTCTTTCTTTCTTTTTTCTTTCTTTCTTTCTGTCTTTCTTTCTTTTTTCTTTCTGAAGAATTGCCAGGCTAGCGCACCAGCTCACTACAGACACGTTGTTGTATTCTCAACAATTTACCCAAGCTGGTTTTCACTGCGGTTGAAGGGGGTCTTGGTCAACGGTTACCGGCCGGAGTTCGAGGCTCCTCCAGCACCGTTATTATGGTTGTTTTAGACTTTTGAAGGAAGAACAAGAGCTAAATGAAATTAAGGACTTTTGGGAAATTGCGTTTGGCTCAAAGGCATACAATGTATCCACTTTTAGACTGCCAGTAAACATATTGGTGGAACCCGTCAAGACGTAGCTATCTTCCTTGAGTGCGCGTATGCTGTGTGTCTCTGCGTGCTGCGGTTGTTGTTCATGCATGCTGTTTGTATGGACCTTGTTCTGGCTCTCGTGGGCATCTTCAGCTCGTGCGCGCATATTCGAATCACGCGAAGATTGCCATGTGCAGAACCCAACATTCAACACCGTATGCATGTTTTATGTCGAGTTCATGTTGCTCCAAAGTTCCGGAAGAACAATATTCCATTTTGTTAAAAATGCAAGGAAGACGCTACGGCGCACTGTGCCTGGGACTGTTTTGCGGCACGTATTCTCCACGACCCATTTTCAGCTTTTCCCAGGCTTGGGGCCTCATGTTTTTTTTTTTGTATCATACAGTGCTGGCTACGTGTGTGTGCTGGAGGGCTCAGATATGAACATGGATCCATGATTGGTAGCGAGGCTGGCCATATCCAGCTCATGGGGCGGCAGAGAGCATTGATGCTTGATGCATCCAGCACAATTCTACCGGAATTTGCTTGCAGGTGACATGTCAGAACCAGAGTGTGCCGCTTTCGCTTTTTTGATGGCGAATCGAGTGACAGCCTGTTGCTTTTCAGTTTCAATAGCCACAACTCGTCGCTGTCAGCTTGTGGGATCGGAGGTTTTCAAGGGGCAGGAAACAGCACAGTATTGACATATGCAGGCTTGGACTTTTGCTACCATGATCCATTTACGTCCGCCCACTCAATGAATCAAAGCAGTCGAATTATACATGAACCTCATTCTCGTCCAACAAAACTCACCACTGTTGCTTCCAATTTGGGGTCGAACTTTGCAAGGGCACGAAGGCACACATTGAATGGGTGTGGTCGTTTTCGCTGCGTTCGTCAACGCCTTCATCGGCCTGCCATGGTGGAGTGGGGCTTATGTACATGGCACGAGCCTTGGTCACCTGCACAGAATGTTCAAGAGATTGCTTGGGTGTTTGCGGTTAGTTCGGAACCAGCAAGTTTTGACTAGTGAGGTGACAGTAATACCACTATCACAACATGTGTGGACGCGGGCCTGCTCGACCGGGGATGTGTTTGCAGCGAGGCTGGACTTCGAATAAACCCTTTTCCAGTGCTTGCTCTGAGGGAATCTGGGAATCCCATTGGAAGTGTTCGAGTGAGTGCAGGCGGCCCAGTTCGCCGGGGACGCGGTCCGTTTCGGTCCTCGCAGCGGCGCTGCTACTGCCACGCAAAGGTGCGGTGCCAATGCGGCGATACGCTTGACAATTGACCCGAGCAGTTAGAAGTCGCATTGTCAGATGCAGTCAAGGCAGTGAGATTGGGTACACTTACCAAAGGGCCAATTGGAAATGGCGAAACATTTGTTCTGCCTTCTGTTTTCGTGGAACTGGGAACAGCGGCACGACACATTTGTTGAATGAAATCGGACAAAACCGGCTTCGTCGACGAGGGCCGAGGGTCTTGCGAGGCCGATGCCCGGCGAAGGCATGGCAGCACGAAAGTGCCAGATCATCCTTGGCCGTGGATTGGTTTGTGGCACAAAATCTCGAGTTTCGGAGCTCATTGAGCGTTCCTTCCCATGCTGGAAAAAACACTTTTTTGGATGCAATCCCTTTTCAGGAGTGGCTTTGGACACATATCGAGAGCGACCAGTCATTTGAGCTGGTCAGGGGCGGCAGGCTACGGCTGTGAAGCGCGAGGACTGCATGTGGAGTGGGCTGGGGGTGGCTCATGTTGCGTAGTTCGGAAACTCCTTTTTTGGGTTGGTTTAATGGCAAGCCTGAAGGGTTTGGTTTTCCTCTGTTGAGACACCCAGATGCATGCCACATCGGTGGCCCGACAGGAGCCATCAACCCTGGATGAAGTCTCTTTAGAGCGGGAAGAGATACTTGGCTGATACCGATTGCTCAGAAGCTGAACGTGACACAACAGTCGCTCCTTCTCTTGCTCACTCATTCTCTGGAACTGCTTTTTCGGGAGAGGCAGCTTCGCCAGGGTTGCGTTCTAAGGAGCACTCTGCTCCGGTTCGGCTTCTTGGCTTTCAGCTTTGGGTTTCCGACTGAGAGTTCAGCATCCGCTCGCCCCAGGCGTGACGGATGCTTTCATGTTGTCTTGGATACGAGACAAGCTCGGAGCCCTGCTGCCGGAGGCGCGCGAGCTTTGGACCTAGGACAATATATTTTTGGTCGTTGAGCATCTTTGCAAGGGCGGGCTGAATTCTGTTGCACTGGTGCGGATTTCCGGTAGCAGTCGGCTGTCCTGTTTCGTGTTCATTGGGTATTTAGTTATGTGGAATCTCGGGACACACACCTTTCGCTTTGCCTCGCAAGGTGGATCTTTCCGGGGTGATGCTGTCCAGAGAGGTGCAGAGCATGGTGTGTGGATGTTTGGACTAGTCGCGGTATCAGGCAGGTGGCTGCGGTCCTGAGCAGCTGCAAGTTTTCCAGAGATTGCTTGATGACGAGGAGGCGCAGAAACGGAAACTCTGAGAAACTCATTCTTCTGGCTTTGGCTTTTGGGCTGACACATTTTTGTTGAGGTGGATTTCATCGTGGTTCCCGCCAAGGACGTGAGGATCTCAGTTTTTTTGCTGATTATTGGGTCTCACAGTGCCCAAAGCCTTAGGTGGCATTGTCTCTACCAGAAGGTCTTGCGACAGCTGCAATTCTCCGTGAGGCCGACGTCGTTTCGATGCATTCCTTTTCATGAGTCATGAGTCATGAGTCACCAGGATGTTCGGGATGCTGTAGCTGGCTGCTTAATTTCACAGCTTGCCGGCAATAGAAGCGATGCTGTTGCCGAGATTGTGGAGCGCTATGCATGGGCGAGGTTGTCAGACCTGGAACTACACCGGTTACATCGCTATCTGCGCGGGGCTCAGGTCTGAGCTAGAGCGTGGCATCACAGCTCACCATGGACACCGGAAGAGACTGATGAGTCTCTCCAGCAACTGCCTAAGCAGGCAAGCCGCACAAACCCAACAATAGCCCTTTGTTTGCTGCATCGTTGGACCTGTTGACCTTCACTTTGTGGCGCTGAATTCTCTTGCCTCCCAAGTGCCAAGACCCCTTCCTCGCAGCGTGCGGTTCTTCTGGATGTCTCGGGACCATTTTCTTGTTGTCTTCTTTTCAGGCTGGACGAAGGGAAAGGACAAGATAAGCAGATGTAATTCCCAAGCCTTTCTGTGTGTGGCTTGGGGTAAAGGGAATGTGATTGTAAACGAAAAGACACTACAAATAACCAAACAAAATAAATTACACAAGCATAGACCCCAGATAGCACAAGACGGCTACGACCCATGACGCAGCATCATAATGGTTCCATCGGCTTCATGATGATGCTGACAGCATCATGATGATGTTGACGGCATCATGATGATGCCACAGCCACTCAGCATGGTGCGCTGAATAGACGCGCGCAGACAACGTCCTAATGAGTTCAGCAGCATAATGGTGATGTTGACAGCCTCACACTGATGCTCCAGCCACGAACGATTCCGCGCTACATATCTAGCAGACAAAAGGCAGAGACGACGTCCTGATGAGTGCGACAGCATGATGATGATGATGATGATGATGATGATGATGATGATGATGATGATGATGATGATGATGATGATGATGATGATGATGATGATGATGCGGGCAGCATCACCATGATGCGGATAGCATCATGGTGGTGCTAACAGCATCATGGTGATGGCAAAGGCAGCATCATGATGAGACCACGGCCACGAATCATTCAGCATCATCCTGATGTTGACAGCATCATGGCGCCACCACACCCGCGAACCATAATGCAGCATCGCAGTTACAGCAGCATCATGACGTGGTTGACAACATCATGATGATACACCAGCCACGAACCACGAACCATTACTCACGACATTTAGAGCAGCAACAACGTCCGAATCGGTTCAACAGCATCATGGTGCTGCGGACAGCATCATGATGATGCCACAACCACGATACCCTGCCGTCCATATGCGCCCGCACCATCACCAACACCTCAAGACAGCAGCCCCAACAGCACCCCAACTGAGCACCAGCGCCAGTACCCCAAAGTGCATGCCCTAGCTCCCAGCCGTCGATCTCACAAAACGATTCCCCTTCTTCATTACAAGTTAGAATGGCTTTCAGTTGTCTGGAAAGTTGGTCAGCAGCACCACCCCAAACTGCATACCCCCTAGCACCCGCCGGCAATCTCGCACAACTGCGCCCACAACGTCACCAGAACCGCAAACAGCACCCCAAACAGTACCCCAAAACAGCACCTGCATCAGCACATGCGCATGCACCATCACCAGCACCTCAATCAAACAGCAAACTACATTCACCAGGACTACATGCCCCCTAGCACTCGGCCGTCCAGCACCCCAAACTGCATGCCCCCTGGCACCACGGCACCTCCACCAGCACCCAAAACTACATGCCCCCTAGCACTCGGCTGTCAATCTTGTAAAGCGGCACACCTCCACCAGCACCCCAAACTGCATGCCCCCTAGCACCCAGCCGTCAAGCTCGCAAAACAGCACCTCCACCAGCACCCCAAACTGCATGCCCCCTAGCACCCAGCCGTCAAGCTCGCAAAACAGCACCTCCACCAGCACCCCAAACTGCATACCCCCTAGCACCCAGCCGTCAAGCTCGCAAAACAGCACCTCCACCAGCACCCCAAACTGCATACCGCCTAGCACCCAGCCCTCAATCTCGCAAATCACTTTCTCTTCTTCATTAGAAGTTAGAACCCCTATAGCTTTCAGCTATCTGGGGAATTACACAAGCATAGACCCCAGATAGCACAAGACGGCTACGACCCATGACGCAGCATCATAATGGTTCCATCGGCATCATGATGATGCTGACAGCATCATGATGATGTTGACGGCATCATGATGATGCCACAGCCACTCAGCATGGTGCGCTAAACAGACGCGCGCAGACAACGTCCTAATGAGTTCAGCAGCATAATGGTGATGTTGACAGCCTCACACTGATGCTCCAGCCACGAACGATTCCGCGCTACATATCTAGCAGACAAAAGGCAGAGACGACGTCCTGATGAGTGCGACAGCATGATGATGATGATGATGATGATGATGATGATGATGATGATGATGATGATGATGATGATGATGATGATGATGATGATGATGATGATGATGATGATGATGATGATGATGATGCGGGCAGCATCACCATGATGCGGATAGCATCATGGTGGTGCTAACAGCATCATGGTGATGGCAAAGGCAGCATCATGATGAGACCACGGCCACGAATCATTCAGCATCATCCTGATGTTGACAGCATCATGGCGCCACCACACCCGCGAACCATAATGCAGCATCGCAGTTACAGCAGCATCATGACGTGGTTGACAACATCATGATGATACACCAGCCACGAACCACGAACCATTACTCACGACATTTAGAGCAGCAACAACGTCCGAATCGGTTCAACAGCATCATGGTGCTGCAGACAGCATCATGATGATGCCACAACCACGATACCCTGCCGTCCATATGCGCCCGCACCATCACCAACACCTCAAGACAGCAGCCCCAACAGCACCCCAACTGAGCACCAGCGCAAGTACGGCTTTCAGTTGTCTGGAAAGTTGGTCAGCAGCACCACCCCAAACTGCATACCCCCTAGCACCCGCCGGCAATCTCGCACAACTGCGCCCACAACGTCACCAGAACCGCAAACAGCACCCCAAACAGTACCCCAAAACAGCACCTGCATCAGCACATGCGCATGCACCATCACCAGCACCTCAATCAAACAGCAAACTACATTCACCAGGACTACATGCCCCCTAGCACTCGGCCGTCCAGCACCCCAAACTGCATGCCCCCTGGCACCACGGCACCTCCACCAGCACCCAAAACTACATGCCCCCTAGCACTCGGCTGTCAATCTTGTAAAGCGGCACACCTCCACCAGCACCCCAAACTGCATGCCCCCTAGCACCCAGCCGTCAAGCTCGCAAAACAGCACCTCCACCAGCACCCCAAACTGCATGCCCCCTAGCACCCAGCCGTCAAGCTCGCAAAACAGCACCTCCGCGTAGCCGGTGTTAAGGACATGATTAATAACTGCCTTAACAAGGGTAGGAACTTCAGCAGCAGGGACAACCCCACCAGCACCCCAAACTGCATGCCCCCTAGCACCCAGCCGTCAAGCTCGCAAAACAGCACCTCCACCAGCACCCCAAACTGCATGCCCCCTAGCACCCATCCGTCAAGCTCGCAAAACAGCACCTCCACCAGCACCCCAAACTGCATACCCCCTAGCACCCAGCCGTCAAGCTCGCAAAACAGCACCTCCACCAGCACCCCAAACTGCATACCCCCTAGCACCCAGCCGTCAAGCTCGCAAAACAGCACCTCCACCAGCACCCCAAACTGCATACCGCCTAGCACCCAGCCCTCAATCTCGCAAATCACTTTCTCTTCTTCATTAGAAGTTAGAACCCCTATAGCTTTCAGCTATTTGGGGAATAAAATATCAAAAAGAAAAACCAAACAGCATAAAAAATGAAAAGGAAATGATATCTTCGTTCCTCAGCCTTTCCAAAAGGACACTTTTCTATTTATCTTTACTTCTTCTTTAGAATTCGTTTATTTTGGAAATCATTACATTTAGAAGTTACATCAGATTCATTTTGTTTTCTTATTCATATTTCTATCTTATTATTCTTTGCAAGTCTTCTTTTCAGGCTGCCAGTGGGTTCCTCGACCTAACGGCTCCCAGGGGGCACTGAGGATCTGCAGTCTGGAAGCACGGTGTGCGTGTCGTGTTCCCGGCGCCGGCTGCAGCTCTCTGCGAGGCCCGGGCGCGATTCATTTCAGAGATGTTCTGGAAGTGCAGCACATTTTGATGGGAGGTTTCCGCAATTGAACATTCATGAGAGCCGTGCGCCCAGCATAGCTCAGTTTCGCTGAGTGGCATTTTGGGCAGCTTTTGGAGCGGCGAACAGTGAAATCCTACTGAATGTGTTCAGACAGTGTAGTTGTGCATGTCATGCTTGATGTACCACGGTCTTCAGTTGTTTCAGTTTTGGTTGCTTCGGTTGTTTCAGTTGTGTTGGGATGTTGCGGTTGCTTCAGTTGGCGGTCTTTCATTATTGCAGTGTTTGCAGTGTTTTCCGTTTTTGTGATTTGGTTGTGGTATGTTGTGGTCTTGGCTTTGGTTGAGGCTCGTCGTTGGTGTCGTCCATGTTTGTCGTTGCCGATGTCAGCGTCAGTGTGGGCTGTGTCGGCGGGTTTGTCTCTTTCTTTCTTTGTTGCTTTCTGTCTTTTTTGTATTCATTTTTCGTCGTTGGCTGTGTTCTGCTTGCTTGGTTGCTTGCTTGGTTGCTTGCTTGGTTGCTTGCTTGGTTGCTTGTTTGTTGGTTTGTTTGTTTGTGTGTTTGCCTGCATGAGGCGATCTGCCGGTTCAATCCCGGCTTCGCTTGTTGTACAGCTCTGACTTTGATGCCGTGGTTGCCGCGGCTGCTGGCCTGCGTGCCTGGCGTCATTGAAGGGTGTGAAAGGTTGGGTGCATGCGAGGGGTTGTCAAGAATACCCTCCCTTCACCAACATTGAGCGCTGACACAAGGGTTTTGCAAGACTAGTCTCGTTTTGGGGAAGCCCTTTGTCCACCTCCAAGGTTGTTGGAAAGAGGGTATGGCTCCTTTTTTGGTATCCTCTTTAAAAAGGCGGCGCAAGGCGGCACGTTGAGAAAAAATAAAACAATAAAAAACCGCAATTGGCGGAGCAGTGCAATCTGCTGGTCGATTTTGGACCCAAAGAAAGGGAGTTTCCAAGAGTGCTCCTGATTGGCTTAGCTTGCCACGGCAGGCAAAGAACGGGCCTGACGCCTATGACAGAAGTATTCCCTTTGAATACGAAGGAGCTGATGCCAGCTCTATGTCAAGGTGCTGAAGCATGCTTTGTGTGACAGAATAGTTCTGGTGGGAATACTTACACAGGTATTGCCATGCAGGTGCTGTCACGATGCTGTGTCGGGTCGATGATGACGACACTCTCTCCTTGTGCTGCCGGCATGTTGGCAAGCTTTGCGTGCAGCTGTTGGGACCAGTATGCAAGGCTTGCCCAATGCGATGATGCGGCAGTAGCACCCCCGGCCACGCCAAGCTTGGTTTGGAATGAGCACGCACTTGACAGCTTCAATGGCTGTGATTCGACGATGCTCGTGCTAGCGGTGAATTCAATGCTTACATACCTTTGCAGTGTGAGAGGTTTGTCATTGCATGCGATGCTTTGGGGCCAGTTTTTCAGAAGCGGAAGGAATTCTCCGGTAAATTGGGCCATGCCGCGACTTGTTTTGCGTTCCCTCGGAGGTTTGTCTGAGTTTTCATTGAGGCCCGCACCTGCGTGGAGGCTGAACGCGCGGTTCTCCGGCAACTTGGGAGGCGCAACTGTCTTTTCCGGGCCCAACGTTTGGGTGGGGGTTGGTACCTTGATCAGGCTTCCAGACGGCGCCGTGGCCTGCCTGCACTGGAGAGAGAGGGTCGCGAGAGAGCGAGCAGTGGATAGGTCGGAGGCTCTGCAGAGTTGCCGGGACCTGAACCGGGAAGGGCCTGGTGCGTGCATGAATCCATTGTCTGATTGCCGCAGTGTAGCCATGTAGCCAGCTTCATGGAGGGTGAACATCCTCCCAGTGAGTCCCCGAGCGGCCATGTGAGGTTTCGTCACACAGGCTCACCTACGCCATCCTTGGAGCGACAGCACAGCAAGCACACGAGCGATCATGGTGCATCTAGGCCCGACACTCCTGGTAGCCTCCAGTCTGGTCGAACAACTCCCACAGTGGACAGGGTATTGTTGGTCGGTGTGGAGCGCGTGGACCGTGCACCAGCCGACAAGCGGCCTATTCCGGGGCATGTCCATTTTGAAGAGACCAGGTCGAAGCTGCACACACGGCCAAAGGTGCCGCTGGAATTATTTGGGCAGCATGTGGGGGAGGTGCCGCAGGCCGAGTCGTTCGTTTCTTCCCCCAAGAGCTCCACATTGCGGTCGCCAAAGGCGTCCCCAAGACAGGGCCCTGCGCATTCGCCAGTCAAGGCACCAGCTAAGCGGGCGCCGATCCATCCGCCACGTAAACGCCCGAGCCGAGTGTTTGAGGGAGGCGAGGTCTCAAACCCGTTCGCGGCTTTCCAAGTTTTTGGCCAGCCAGTGAGGGCTCCTGTGATGGCTTCTACGGTGCATTTGACAGAGGTTGAAGAAGGGGAGCCTGTGAGGAGCGAGTCTGTGGACAGTGAGCGTGATCCTACCATTGCAGTGCCAAGAAAGTTTTCTGCAACAGTTCAGGGATTGGTGCATACCAACAGCAAGGAGGACATGGAAAGTGCGGTGGCTGACGCGTCAGCCACGTCTTTCTTGGAATCCTCTGCATCTTTTCTGGATGCACAGCTGGACTTGGATGGGTCCTTTGTGCCAAGGAATCCAAAAGACATGCGGTGGCTAGATCCAGCATGGCGATGCCGGTCGCGAGCTTCAGGGGGATCGAAGGACTCAACGCCAGACTGCAGGATTGGGCGAAATTAGCTTAACCGTTAAACCGTTAAACCCTTGTCCCGGTCAAAGAGGTTGTTTGCACAGTGGAGGTTTAGCTATGGCTTATCAGGGGGTTGACCCAGCCCTGTTCAGGATAGCGCATCTGTCGGAATCGCGAAG